TTTTCATGCTCTCTGTCTCTCGAGTCCGCTTGTCTCTCTTATCCGTAAGAAATATCCACGGTTTCGCGGGTGATTTTGGAAGCGTGGAAAATTTGCTTATTATTAATCATATTGATTGGAGCAAGAAGGAAAGAGCAACAGGGGATGTAGCTCAGATGGTAGAGCGCTCGCTTAGCATGCGAGAGGTATGGGGATCGATACCCCACTTCTCCATTCTTTTTGCCTAATTTTTTTTGTTTTAAGTTTTAACTAACGGTAGGGCAGTATACCATATGTTTTTGCCTAATTTTTTATGTTTTAATTTACGGTAGGGTAGTATACCATATGTTATTATACAAGCAGAGAAAAATATATTTTAAGTGCCCCTCCTTTTGTATAATAAGATTTGGCATATATGCCCCTTCATTTGTGTAATAACATTTGTATAATAACATTTTGTTGGATTTTTAGATCGTCGGGCCAGCCCCACTCTAACGACATCGATATTGTCCCCAACTTTACCACATGCCTAATCTAACTCAGCTGCCTCCATTTGTGTAATAACATTTGTATAATAACATTTTGTTGGATTTTTAGATCGTTGGGCCAGCCCCACTCTAACGACATCGATATTGTCCCCAACTTTACCACATGCCTAATCCGTCAGGTGTGATGTTTTACCACAAAAGACATCCATATTAGTTAGAGTAGGGTAATAGTATTTAAACCCATTGGGTTTCCTTTACCCCACGATGTGGGACATTTAACACACCCCCTCACGTGTAATCTCATTTAGTAGTTCACATGTAGAGATCCATATCGGTAATTGAAACTCAGAAGTCGCCTCACGTTGGGCCCACTTGTTTTCAATGGAACTCAGTTGTCGTCTCTATATTAAGAGTTCATACTTGTTTCATTATGGGTGACAAGCTCGTTGGCTTGCACACAAGCTCATTGGCTTGCACGAGCCCGCCCAACTCTAACGACACCGATATTGTCCTCAACTTTACCACTTGTCTAATCCGTCAGGTGTGGGGTTTTACTACAAAATGCATTGGTATTAGTTAGAGTAGGGTAATACTATTTAAACCCATTGGGTTTCCTTTACGCCACTGATGTGGGACATTTAACACATTTGGCATATATGTATGTGTTTCGAACACACTGAAAAATCTCTTATTTATCTATCTTGAAAAAAGACACAATCAGTCAGATTCCTTGTTTTTTTACAGAGGCTCACTCAATATTCACTATCCCTTGTACGGATTATTTCCCCAATTAATAAAGATCGCACTTTTCTTAAAAAAACTTGAGCTAAGCTGGTGTAATATTAATCATGATTTTCAAGAGTAATTATATATGGATAGTAACAAGTTGAAGCGGTTAAAGTGTGGTTACATAAATAAATTAATGGTAAGTAATCCAATTAATCAGATGTTTAATAAAGTGGATTTGGTGGATAATCAGGTCTCAGATCCGAGTAATAAATAGATAGCCATTTTTACCTCTCTTTTCTGTGTATAAATATGACTTGGGACTGAGAGCCCTCTTCAACATTCATCAGACTTTCATGGTGAGTATATATATATATATATATATAGAGAGAGAGAGAGAGAGAGAGAGAGAGAGAGAGAGAGAGAGCTATACATACACAAACAAGTATAGTAATATATACATATACTGGGAGTGACATAATTAATTGTACTAATTAATCAGAGATTAATGAATCGTACTGGTCGTGTTTTTGGTTTGGTTGGGTGCTTATTGCTGGCAATGCTTCATGGAATTGCGTGTCAGGTAGATTACCATGCAGCACTTACCAAGTCTCTGTTGTATTTTGAGGGTCAACGCTCTGGAAAGTTGCCGGATAATAATAAGCTGCAGAGAGTGCAATGGCGTGGAGATTCTGCACTCAAAGACGGCTCTGATGCTGGAGTAAGACTTTTTCCATCATCCTCTTCACTCCGTACAATACTATTAATATCATTGACTAAATTAAATTCATGAACAGATTGATCTGGTGGGAGGATACTACGATGCCGGAGACAATCTCAAGCTAGGGTTTCCAATGGCATTCACAATAACAATGTTGTCGTGGAGCCAAATAGAGATGGGCAGCCAACTCAAGGCAAAGCAAGAGCTCACAAATGTGTTGCATGCCATCAAGTGGGGAACGGATTACTTGATCAAAGCGCATCCCAAGCCTGAGGTGCTCTACGCGCAGATCGGTGAGCCTGATTCCGACCATGGATGTTGGCAAAGGCCGGAAGACATGGCCACCCCAAGAACCGCCTTCAAGATTGATGACCAACATCCTGGCTCCGATCTTGCTGCCGAAACTGCTGCTGCTTTTGCCGCAGCTTCAATCGCTTTCAAGAATTCGGACCATCAATACTCATTCAAGCTTCTAACGCACGCGAAACAGCTTTTTGATTTTGCATGCAATCACCCTGGTCTTTATCAGGACAGCATCCCTTCTGCCGGAAAAGTCTACGCCAGTAGTGGCTATCATGTAAGAATAGATATTTGCTTTTAACTACTTTTAACTACAAGCAACGCGCCTACGTGCACATATAGTTAATTATATGTACATGATTTGATTGCAGGATGAACTGATGTGGGCAGCAGCATGGCTACATCGTGCTACAAATGAAAAAAGGTACCTGGATCACGTTGAGCAAGCAGAAGACGGAGGGGGAACAAGATCCAAATTCTCATGGGATGACAAGTACGTTGGCGCACAGATCTTGATTGCAAGAGTACCTACCACTCTCCCTATTCCACATGAATTGGTGGAATTACCATTAATTCTACCAATTAATATCTGATTAATTAGTACTAATAAAACATATGTACACCTTGCAGCTTGTATTGGAGGGAAAGGTTGAGAATGGAGGAAAGTGGGCCGAATACAAGAGCCACGCTGAGGAGTTCATATGCTCGTGCATTCAGAAAGGGAACACCAAAGTGCGGCAGACACCTGGTGGCTTGTTATGGTTTTCACCCTGGGATAACATTCAATACGTAGCCACCGCTACCTTCACCACCATTGTCTATTCCAATTATTTGGCCACCAAATATGCCTCCCTCAACTGTGCTGCTGGCAACGCTAATCCTTCTGATCTTATTGCATTCGTCAAATCACAGGTATTACATTACGGAAATGTACTTTGGCTCTTTCACATGTAACATTTTGACAAATTTGCACAAATGATTTATTTTTGTGTTTTGATTAAGGTGGATTATATATTGGGGTCAAACCCCAAGAACATGAGTTACATGATTGGATATGGAGGAAACTATCCACAGCGGATTCATCACAGAGGAGCATCAATAATATCGATCAAGAAGGACTCGACACCGGTGACATGCAAAGGAGTGTATGCCGATTGGTTCAACAGAAAAGCAGTGAATCCAAATGTCCTGGATGGAGCAGTCGTGAGTCCAAATGAAAGTGATGGTTTCTCCGATGATAGAAGCAATTTTCAATTTGGTGAACCCACAACATATAACAATGGACCACTAGTTGGTGTCTTGGCTCACTTTGCTTAATTAAAAGCTACTTACAATATGATCTATATTCTGCTTAATATAATAAGAAATTGATTAAAATTATCAGAAATCAAATCCTAACTGATTAAAATTAAATATTGGTGATATATCGTAATGAACACTTGAAATCATTAAAAGTGAGCATTCTTGCAAGTTAGAAAACTAAAGTGCAATTTGCATTGCCGGTATTCCATAACGAATGGGACGAAAATAAAACTTTCAGAAAAAAAGAGGAGTATGAGGTTTTACATGTCAGGGGCAGAGAAGCAGTTGCAAGTAGCAGCACAGTCCAGACAAGCGATATATATCAAACTATATATAGGTATGTTTGTATTGCAGATGCGCAACAGTAATACGCTTCAACAGATTCAGATTCAAGCTTCATTTACTGGGAGATAAAGTGAAAAAAATTCGAGTTATTAAAAATACATTTGTAGCTCAAAGGGTAAAACCGCTTTCAATTGCCTTATGTAGTTACTTTTAATCATGACGGAAAGTATTCAGCATAAATAAAAAATTTGTATTTTTCACAAAAAAAGTGTGTTGCCATCACCATTTCTAGGCTATTTTGCAAATGAGAACAAATATCGTCGTCAAATCTATTTGCTTACACCTCCACTGCAAGTTCGCAACGTGAAATTTGAAAATTATGAAAGGCTTTTTGTTATTATTCATGTAGATGGAGTCTCTTCAGGAAATGTTTTCGGCCTCACTACAATTTTTGTCCATTTATTTTTAAATTTTCGGCTTAAATAATAAATTTAAAATACATTTGTAGTTTAATAATTGGTAAACAAGCTTTCATTTTGCCTTATAAAGTTACTCTTAATCGTGATAGAAAATATTTCGCAAAATGAAAAAATTGCATTTTTCTTAAAAAAAAAACGTGGGCTAACCATCACAATTTCTAACCATAATGAGTGAAATATGAATAATATTTCCCACTGCTTCGATGCTTCTTTGAAAAGTACTTATACTCATGAATGCTTCTGTTAGAAGTGCTTTTATTCTAAACGTGTTGAAATTTGCTTAAAGAATCCTAAGATGCTTCTTCAAAAAAAGTTCCTATGTACCATGAAGGCTTTGTGAGCTTTTTGTGTGCCAAAAGAAGTTAGAAAAGATATTAGCCCTTACAAAAGGAATCCCAAAGACAACAATTCACCATTTGGTGCTATGATTGAATTGGATTTGATTGGATACACGAGAAATAATTGGTGAAGATAAAAGACGAAACATTACAAAAAATGCCAAGTTTTTTTATTTTTTATTTTTTATTTTTTGTTGTCAAATGATTGATTTTATTAGATTAAATGTTAAATTAGCTATCAACAAAGTTTAAACCCATGTCATCATGCTAAAACTTAACCCCTTTCCACTAATTTAGTAAAGAGCCACTTGCAATTTGTGAAAAGCTTTCGCATCTCCTTTCGTTTTTAAATTTCTTTTCTCACGGGCGCTTTCCACCAAAAAAGAATTTCACACGTATGGTTTCCTCTCCAAAAATTTATATTGAAGCTCCTTTTTCCCTCCATAGAAACCCTAGAAGGGACAGAAGCTCTCTGCTCCTTCCTCTCGGGGGCTAACCCAAATACTCACACACAGAGATGCCACGTGGTGGTGGTAACTACTACAACTTCACGAAGATCAGGGACGCCATTGATTCCGTCGGCGCCAAGGTCAACGTAATCGGCGTCGTCCTCGAGTGCGGCTTCCCTCGCCAAACCAGAGGCACCGGTAAATCTTCTTCCTTCAATCAAATTCATCACATTTATGTAATGTGCTTGCACTATATATGTATATGTATTTATGTATGTGTGCATGTGTGTGTAAATGTGTCTATCTGTGGTGGCGATGATGAAACAAAGGCCGGACTTACGGCTGCTTCCGGCAAGGTCGGTAGTAGATTGATGAGACTCTTAACGAAAAGGTGTTTGCTGAGCCGCGTGTTACTTTTGTTCCATTTCTCTGGGTCTTTATAATATTTTGTGTTTTTCTGTTAAATTAATTATTTTTAGCTCTGCTTTTGGATGCAGTTTTTCTTCTTTCTGTTTGTTATATACGTATTGGTGTGAATCTTTTGCAGATTGGTTCGTTTCGGTGCGTATAATCGATGAGACGCATCAGGATCCCGGGTTGTCAGTTAATATATTTACAGATAGGAATGAATGTCCTCGCATTTTATCTGTTGGAGACATAATTCAGTTCCAACGCGTCACGGTATATCTTGGGCTTAACTTCATTTAATTTTCTTTCCAGGATTCTTCAATTGCTGATTTCTCAAGCAAAATGTTCAATCTGTAACTAGTGTGGTATATTTTCATTTTTGCTAAAGATATTTTGATCAAATAAATTGCTTGTTGCCCTTCTTTTTCCCTACTAATCATGTTTTCTTCGTTATCAAAATGTTCCGTGTTATCTGTTATAAAAATAGATAATGTTATGTACTATCATTTACCCCATTTTATTAAAGGCATGAAACGTTCTGTACAAATCATGATCGTAGTTGACTTGGGCGTAACTTGTGCAGATTAATCATCATGTAGGTAAAGTAAATGCTGTTTTTTGCAAGAAGTTCTCTACCTTTGCTATTTATTACAGAAGTGACAATACAAATTTAAGTCCTTATCATGCTTGCAAAACATTTCGCGAGAGAGACCATGACAAGAACTTTGTGATAGACTTGAGAAGTTGGTTGAAGAATTTCCATTTTCACGAAGGTATACTTAAAAAGTATTTTGTTTCACATAGCAACACAACGGCATTAAATTATGTATAAGTCTAACTCGTTCACAGTAGATATTACAATGTTGTGGTTATTTTTGGAAGACTATGGATATGATTCTGGTGTGCTGGATGGATTATGGTTGTGAAAAAGGTAGTCGATGATAGTCCCACATGGATTAGGCTTTTGTAAAGATAGCTTGCTCACAAGACAAAAGGGTTAGATTTACCTTTCTAGAATGTTGGAATTGTTTTTTGTTACATTCCATAAGATTATTATGTAGTCATGTACATTTTCGGCACAGGGAGTGATGTTATTCAACTTGTCTTTCTCTAGACAACCATAACTAGGTTGGTCTAGATTTACCTTTCTAGAATGTTGGAATTGTTTTTTGTTACATTCTATAAGATTATTATGTAGTCATGTACATTTTCGGCACAGGGAGTGATGTTATTCAACTTGTCTTTCTCTAGACAACCATAACTAGGTTGGTGTTAGAGGTGCTATTTTTATGATAAGTCAGTGCTAGTTGTGAATGATCTAATTAGGAATCTCTTTTTCAAAGGAATACGGTTGATACCTGGGTTTATAGGGAGTAAGTTTTCGTGAAATGGCATTGTGTGATGTTATTCAACTTGTCTTTCTCTAGACAACTATAACTAGGTTGGTGATAGAGGTGCTCCTTTTATGATATAAGTCAGTGCTAGTTGTGAATGATCTAATATGGAATCTCTTTCTCCAAGGAATACGGTTGATAACTGGATTTATAGGGAGTAAGTTTTCATGAAATGGCATCATCATTTGAGCAAAGGTGTTTATGTTTTTGCTCTGATTTTTTAGGCAAAAGTATACAGTGATTCTAAATCCTTTTCACAAATCCACTTTAATGGTTCGTGAAGAGGAAGCACCATACGGTTATGATTCTATAAATGCTGCCAAATACTTTGTCCAAATTAGAGGCACTCTGGATGGTAGATTTGTAGTAACTTTCTGACCTAATTGTATATATGAGAAAAGATAGGAGCTTTATTTTGCTTGGTAGATAGAGGCATAGCATAAGCCTGCCTTATATATCTTTTCATCTTGTCTTACTAGAAATGTATATGGTTTGTAGGTGCAAATTATTTCTCATTTGTCAGAGAAATGAAAGGAGGTGAAGATTTTAATTTGGTTTGTAAAGTAAGTCAACCGTTTTTGTTAAATATGTGTGCACTAGTTAAATGAATACTGCAGATATATTTCTCTTTTAAATGGGGAACAAAGCAGGATATTTGAATTATTTCTAAATTACTCAAATATGATTAAAGATCTAAGTCAGTTCTTTTTGTTCTGTAATTATTCCATGTACCGAGTACAACATAATAATTTTCTTTATTTTCTACCTCAAGATAATCCATATCCATGAGGGTGCTGGAAATGAATGGATGGCCTTTGTTTGGGATGGAACCGATGCTCCACCAGCAGATATTCTTCAAAAGTGAGTTGATAGCGGTTAATGTTTATTTTTTCTTATATAACATCATAAAATTATGGGGTACTTTGCAATTGCTCCCTGTCTCGTCAGAAAATTTCAAAACGAGTCCTTTCCTTTTTCTTCAAAAATAAGACGGGGGTTATTTTCCTTTCATATAATTAGTGTTGAAGTTAAAGAAAGTGACTGATCTTTTCAACATACTTCCCACTGATATTCTGTTATCAATTTTTTGTTGGATTTTTTTTTCCGTGCAATTCTCCTCGGAAGTGAACTTACCAAATTGCAACCTATGTAATGGTTTATGACATTAGCGCATCACCTTACTGGACCAAGCCTATATATATATATATATATATATATATATATATATATATATATATACATGTTTGTTAGTTATGAAAGCTAATTTAGTTTTATCTATATGGTTACTATTTGTATATTTTATCTGAGTAAGATATTAAATGTTGCTAAATCTGAACCACAGGCTAGAAGATGAAATGAAGCACCCACTTCCCCTACATCTGGAACCATTTCCTTTGCCAAGTGATACCTTATGCAGCAGCTTTCCTGCTGTTGGAACTGTCTTAAGAGTGATATCTCAGGACCTTGAGAATGACAACCTTCGCCTGCTAAAAACTGGGGAGTGGGTGAAGCTTGTAAATTTGCTATGTGAAGTGCATGCAGGAATATGGCGTTGTGTTCTGACACCCTTTACAAAGCTTCGATATACACCAAAAGAGGACCGTCTCAAACTCGAGCGGAAAAGGTTGTAACTTTCGGAAACCATTTAATTATCATTCATTGCATCATTATGTTGCATAACTTGCTAAAACTCTAATGCACATATCCCTTTGCATATTTTTTATGGATTAGGTTATTTAACGAACAATTAGCCCAAAGTCCAGAAAGTTTAATGCAGATGCCATTTGGGGGCTTTCCCTCGCCTCAAGTCACAGGTACTGCATTTTTTTTTCTTGTGCTGAATTAATCTTCGATTTCTCATTCATTCGCTTCTCTCTTTCAATTCCTGGAAATCGTTTCATCTCTTTGAAATTCTCTTATGATTGTTTATTTCCCTCAGAGGTTGATGATAGTGACGACGACCATGCAATATTTCTTACCTTAATGGATGTTGTTGCAAGTTCAGAGGTATCCTACCTCTTTCACGCAGCTCTTTAGTTTATGCATGTGGTTTCTTGCTCAGAAGCCTATTTATGCTTCTTTTTTCATAGTGTTGAACAGATGTTTATTAACTGTATGTATTCCATATCGTGTAGGTCCCAGCTAGTTTCAAGTGTGTAGTCCCAGCTAGTTTCAAGTGTGTAGTTCGAGTCATAGCAGCTTTCCCATGGCAGGCTGCGGACTTCCTCTTTCCTGCTGGGATTGACAGAATTAGGCTGACTCTGGAGGACTCGACCGCTAGAATTCATGCTTTTTTGTATGCAGAAGATGGGGTAAGAATTCGAATTCGTCACTAACTTATAGTCGGACAGACTATGATCCATCTTTTTGCCATGATATTTTCTTCTACTAATCTTCATTTTCATTTATGATATAGGTGAAATTTTTCGGTGGCCAGTCCTCTGTCGAGGCACTGGAGATCAAACGCAATGCCTTGTTAGGAGTGAGAGTAAATACTGATGGGGCGCAAGACGACACTCGTAGAAATCCTCCTTGGGTACAAGTTCGGCTAAAATCTGAAACTAACCAGCAAGGAAATCTGCACTACCGGGTTTTCGGCACCAAAGTGGTGGCGGCCTGAATCATTAAACCGCTGGAGATCTATTTTGCAAGTTGTCTGCTGAGCTAAATATTCCCTACCAACTCAACTTTGGGAACTTTTGTATATTCTGTCAAAAAGCTTTTGTATATGATGCAGCTCGGATTATGTTTTCGTGTAAATAATTTGTAGGGCTTGATTGTAGTAACGCTTTGCAAGATGAAGATCCGAAGGCAGCCCGCAAGGTTGAACGCGGTCTCTGCCGGCTGCCCTAAGATGGGAAGAATGAAAAACAAAATAGTGCGAAGCTGGAGTGACAAAACATGTTTCTGCATGAGCTACCTGGCCATAGGTAAGTGTTCGTGCACCCTGCTCAGATGCCTTTCTGCATCAGTGCGCAAACCGGATTCTCGGTCGCCATATTTGTCAAGAATCCACGCAGCGTTACTCCGCGTATCCTCATACCCTAACTCGGCCATCCTTGAATACAAGGAAAATGCCTGCCCTGTCCATGCCCCCTTGTAACTATGATTCTATTAAAAGTACATTCGTGGCTCAATAAATGATAAAATCGTTTTCAGTTGTCTTATTAAGTTATTCTTAATCGTGATAGAAAATAGTTTACAAAATAAAAATTTGCATCTTTATAAAAAATACGTGGGCTAATCATCATGGTTTCTAAGCTATTTACCAATTTTATAGAAAAATTTGCCTTCACCTAAATTGTATTGTAAGGTTTTGAAAATTCATGTATGACTTTTTGTTAATGTTTTTGTCAATGAAGTTACGTTTCGGCAATGTTTTGGGCCCACTACAATTTATGTTCATTTATCTTTATTGTTTTGATTAAATACTTTATCAAAAATACATTTGTTGCTTATTAAATGTTAAACTGCTTTCAATTGTCTTATAAAGTTACTCTTAATCGCGACAGAAAACATTTTGCAAAAATAAAAAATATGCATTTTTATCGGGAAAAAAAAGTATGGGCTAACCATCATGGTTTCTAGGTTATTTTCCAAATTTGTACAAAAATCATTGTAAACTCTATTTGCTTTCACCTTAACTGCACAGTGAGGTTTTGAAAATTTATATAAGACTTTTTTTTTCTTTTCTTGTATGTAGTCCTGTTTTGGCAATGATTTGGGCCTACTACAAATTTTGCCCATTTATTTTTATTTTTTTGGTTAAAATATTTTATTAAAAATACATTTGTGGCTCAATAAGTTGTAAAACCACTTTTAATTACTTTATAATGTTATTCTTAATCGTGACGAAAAATATTCTGCACAAATAAAAAAATTTGTGTTTTTGTCAAAAAAAATGTGGACTCCATCACCGTTTCCAGGATATTGTGCAAATTCGTACTAAAATTTATTTGCTTTAATCTTCACCACACAAGGAGGTTTTAAAAATTCTTGTAAAACTTTTTGTTGATATTCTTGTAGATGAAGTCCTGTTTTTGCAATGTTTGAGACCCGCTTCAATTTTTTTCCATTTATTTTTAAGTTTTTAGCTTCAATATTTTTTTTTTTTTTCAACTTTACTTGCTTTCAACTTTACTTGCTTTCAACTTAACCCACCGTGAAGTTTGAAAATCCATGTAAACTTTTGTCAATTTATTTCAACTTAGATATTCTGTTAAAAACACATTTGTAGCTTAATAAATAATAAAATTGCATTCAATTGCCTTATAAAGTTACTCTTAATCATGACAGAAAAATATTTTGCATAAATAAAAAATTTGAATATATCTAAAAAATACGTGGGCTAACAGTCACAGTTTTTAGCTTCAATATTTTTTTTTTTGTAAACTTTACTTGCTTTCAACTTAACCCACCGTGAAGTTTGAAAATCCACGTAAAACTTTTGTCAATTTATTTCAACTTAGATATTCTATTAAAAACACATTTGTAGCTTAATAAATAATAAAACTGCATTCAATTGCCTTATAAAGTTACTCTTAATCATGACAGAAAAATATTTTTGCATAAATAACAAATTTGAATATATCTTAAAAATACGTGGGCTAATAGTCACAGTTTTTAGGCTATTTTTCAAATTAGTATGAAAATCGTCGTAAAATCTATTTTCTTTCATCTTCACCACACTGTCAAGTTTTGAAAATTCATGTATGACTTTTTGTTGATATTCTTGTTGATGTAATCCCGTTTTGGCAATGTTTGGGGCCCCACTACAAATTTTGTCCATTTATTTTTTAAGGATTTTAATAGACTTATAAATCCATGATTTTGATGGAGTTTAATTGATTTGTAAAGATTCCATGTAAAGTTTTGATTCAATTCCCTCTAAATCTTAGGGGAGACGTGAGATTTGTGAATACTTAAAATACACTATGATATCTCTCCAATTTCATCAAATTCTTCAACTTTTAAAAATACTTTAAATACATTCTTAATTAAATATACCTAAACTATTGTAAACTTCTTTAGAATATTAATTGAATTCATCCAAATTTCTAAAGATACATGTTGAATTTCGGAGAAACGTTTAAAATTCTGATTGAATACTTCTACGTTTATTAAAGAAATTTAAAAAATTCTTTAAAATTCCAGTTGAATTCAACACCATATAGACTAAAATTTTATTAATTTGAATACCTTGATGGAAGGATAAAATATTGAATTTAAGTTAAGCAAATTAATAATTCAGTCTAAAGTCATGAAAATAGTCATACCATATAGGAATTTTCCCCTCAAATGTGAGTTGTGCTACATAAATAAAATGGTACGAAATCCATATAAAATTAGTATAATAAAGTTTATAGATATATTAATAAAGAGAAAATCTAATGCGGTGATGAAGCAAAATTAATTTAGATGTCTAATACGGTGAATTTAGCGGATATAATTATATATCCATAAATGAATACTCGTTCTTATCTTTTCTTTTCTGGGTATATATATGAATCAGTACCTGCTTCTTCAATCTTCATCAGTCAGAGTACCGCAGAGAGAGAGAGAGAGAGAGAGAGAGAGAGAGAGAGAGAGAGAGAGAGCTTTACGTACACGGTACACATATACTGATCATCAAGAAATCAGTGAGAAAATACTTAATGGATCATAGTACTAATCGTGCTTTTGGTTTGTCTGTCTTATTAGTGTGCGGAATGCTTCATGGCATTGCGTGTCAGCCGGTAGATTACCATGCTGCAGTTACCAAGTCTTTGTTGTATTTTGAGGGTCAACGCTCTGGAAAGTTGCCGGAAGATAATAAGCTGCAGAGAGTGCAATGGCGTGGAGATTCTGCACTCCAAGACGGCGCTGATGCTGGAGTAAGACCTTTTCCATCATCCTATTCAATACATAAAGTTACACACACATATATAGAGTCTCATTTACATCACCTGGTGACCAAAGTATCATGGTCACTTATTTTTAGATTTGATATCAATGATTGAGATTAAAACACTAAAAACACATTTATTTATTCTCCGCCTTTGATTCAAAACCAAAAATGAGTGACTATATAATTAGATTCGGACATTTAAAGTTACGCAGGGGGAGTAATTGTTGATACTCCACAAAGTCCTAGTGAAACCCTAACATAAAGTTATTTTAAAGATTTTTAGGAGGCGTGCATAATGACTTTTATGTACTATTAATGTCATCGACTAAATCAAATTAATGAATGAATAGATTGATCTGGTGGGAGGATACTATGATGCCGGTGACAATCTGAAGCTAGGGTTTCCAATGGCGTTCACAATAACAATGCTATCATGGAGCACAATAGAGATGGTCAGCCAGCTCCAGGCAAAGCAAGAGCTCACAAATGCCTTGCTCGCCATCAAGTGGGGAACCGATTACTTGATCAAAGCACATCCACAGCCGGACGTGCTCTACGCGCAAGTTGGACAGTCCAATTCTGACCATGGATGTTGGCAAAGACCGGAAGACATGACCACCCCGAGAACCTCCTTCAAAATTGATGCTCAACACCCTGGCTCCGATCTTGCTGCTGAAACTGCTGCTGCTTTTGCCGCTTCTTCAATGGCTTTCAAGAATTCGGACTCTCAATACTCGTCCACGCTTCTAATGCATGCGAAACAACTTTTTGATTTTGCCCGAGATCACCCCGGTCTTTATCAGGACAGCATCCCTTATGCCGGAAAAAGCTACAGCAGTTCCGGTTATCATGTAAGAGTAAATGCTTTTATCTACTTGAGATGCAAGCAATACACATCGAAAGAAAATAAAAGTGTCTATGTAGCTAAGAGCTATTTGATAAGCATTTTGTTTTTATATGCATGATTTGTTTGCAGGATGAAATGTTGTGGGCAGCAGCATGGCTGCATCGTGCTACAAATGAAAAACCGTACCTGGATTACGTTGAGCAAGCACAAGATATAGGGGGCACAAGATATGCATTCTCATGGGATGACAAATACCTCGGCGCACAGCTCTTGGTTGCAATGGTACTACTTAATACTCTCCTTAATCCGCGTTAATTACTTCAACACTAACAAAACATGTGCATCTTGCAGCTTGTACTGGAGGGGAAGGTTGACAATGCAGGAAAATGGGCAGAATACAGGAGCCACGCAGAGGAGTTCCTTTGTTCGTGCATCCAGAAAGGAAGCACGAACAGGAAGCGTACACCCGGAGGCTTGCTATCGTTTGCGCAGTGGGACAACATTCAATGCGTCGCCACTGCTACCTTCGCCACCATTGTTTATTCCAATTACTTGGCCGCCAAAAATGCCTCGCTCAACTGTGCTGTTGGCAACACTAACCCTTTTGATCTTGTTGCATTCGTCAAAGCACAGGTATTGCATTACAGAAAATACTTTGGCTGCTTTACGTGCAACAAGTGAAACATATACAGTTTGACACGTGGACATAACTTTTTTTTCTTTTTTTTGTGTTTTGATTAAGGTGGATTATATATTGGGGTCAAACCCCAAGAACATGAGTTACATGGTTGGATATGGAGCAAATTATCCGAAGCGGATTCATCACAGAGGAGCATCAATTATATCAATCAAGCAGGATCCGACACCGGTGACATGCGGCGGAGGGTACACTTGGTGCCACAGCAACGCACCGAACCCAAATGTGCTAGATGGAGCTGTCGTGGGCCCAGATAAAAATGATGGTTTCTCCGACGATAGAGGCAATTTTCAACTTGGTGAACCCACAACTTATAACATCGGTCCATTAGTTGGTGTCTTCGCTTACTTTGCTTAGTTTACAACTATTTATAATGTAACACATTGTGCATAATCTTATAGGAAAGGGCTAAAATGATCAAAAATCAAAATGCAATTGCTAAACTAGTCTAAATTATTAATGTCGTATTCAAAAATTGATCATTTCAGCCGTTGAAAATTGTAAAACGAATCATTGTTACCAATTTCCATATATGATATATGCCTAAACCATTCAATAAAGTGAGGTTTTTAATCTTTTTTGGCCGTTTTCTTTCTTTTCACCTCTGCTTTATGCTCCAAACATAGTGAGCAGTACAAATTCAAAGGTGTTGCAACATTTTCGTTAACTCCTACGAAAAATATTTCCCAAAACTAAAAATTTCAATTTTTTTCACAAAAATTGTAAGTTATATTTTACAATCAATTTTGAAGATTATTACAATATTTATTATAAGCCAAAATTTGAGTCATTCTAGTCGTATCACATGTTTCCTAAAATTAATTTAGGACATTCCGAAGATTTTTGGACCTACAAATTTCTTTGGGGGCTCCGCTAGTAGTTTATAATATTTTTTCTATTTTTCAACTTTTAAAATTAATAAAAAAATAGTTTCAGGACTTAATAAATGTTAGGATCACATCCAAAGGTCTTGTAACATATTCCTTAGCTCCCATGCAAAATATTTCCTAAACAAAAAATTATCTTTTTTTTTCACAAAAACTGTGAGTTAACCCACGTTATCCAATCAACATGAGAATTTATACAAAATTCGAGTCATTCTCATCGTATCACATTCGTCCTCAAATTAATGTTAGGACATTCCCAACATTTTTGACACTTACAAATATATTTGGGGAGCCCTCTATTAGTTTACATATTTTCTCTTTTTTACATGAAAAATCAATAAAAATTAATTTCGGGGCCCAATAAATTGTAGGATCATATTCAAAGGTCTTAACACATTTTTTTTTAACTCCCATGCAAAGTATTTCCTAAAACTAAAAATTCAATTTTTTTTTAAACTGTGATATGACCCATGTTTTCCAATTGATTTCGAGATTTTTTACAAGACTCATTATAAGTCAAAATTCAAGTAATTCTCGTGGTACCCCATGTTTCGTAAAATTAATTTTAGGACATTCCAAACATTTTCAACACATAAAAATATATTTGTGGGACTATTCATTAGTTTATGTTTGATTTGAATTTTTTAACTTTAAATAATCAATAAAAAATAATTCCGGGAACAAATAAATGACTGAATCACATCAACAGGTCTTACAACATTTTCCTTAACTCCCACTCAAAATATTTCCTAACACTAAAAATTTCAATTTTATTAATAAAACCTCCAAGTTATAACCATGTTTTCCAATCAATTTGAGAAATTTGTACAACATTCATTATAAGCCAAAAGTTGAGTCATTCTCATCATACCGCATGTTTCCTAAAATTAATTTTAGGACATTCTGAAGATTTTCAGCACCTACAAATTATTTTGGATCCCCACTATTAGTTTATATTATTTTTTCTATTTTTCAATTTTAAAAATCAATAAAAATTAGTTGTGGGACCTAATAAATGGTAGGATCTCATCAAAAGATCTCGCAACATGTTTCTTAACTATCACGCAAAATATTTTCTAAAAAAAAAATTTCCATTTTTTTTTCACAAAATTGTGAGTTATCACCCACACTTTTCAATCACTTTTGAGAATTTTACAAGAATCATTATAAGCCAAAATTTGAATCATTCTCGTCGCATCACATGTTTTCTAAAATTAATTTTGGGATATTCTAAAGATTTCCGACGCCTACAATCTCTTTGGGTCCCCATTATAAGTTTATATTATTTTCAAATTTTTTAACTTTAAAAATCAATAAAAACTAGTTTCGAGACCTAATAAATGGTAGGATTATATCCAAAGGTTTTGCAATATTATCCATAACAACCACGCACAATATTTCCTCAAACAAAAAATTTCAATTTCTTTCACAAATGAGTTATAACCTACACTTTTCTATCAATTTTGGGAATTTTAGTATTTTACAAGAATCATTATAAGCCAAAATTCAAATCATTCTCGTCGCATCACATGTTTTCTAAAATTAATTTTGGGACATTCTAAAGATTACCGACACCTACAATCTCTTTGGGTCCCCATTATACATTTATATTATTTTCATAAAAATCAATAAAAACTAGTTTCTAGACCTAATAAATGGTAGGACCACGTCCAAAGGTCTTGCAATATTTTTCTTAACTCGCACGCAAAATATTTCTTAAAACTAAAAATTTCAATTTTTTCCCAAAAACTGTGAGTTATAACCCATATTTTCCAATCAATCTTGGAAATTTTTACAAGAATCATTATAAGCCAAAAGTCGAGTCATTCTCGTCATACCGCATGTTCCTTAAATTAATTTTATGACATTGCATAGATTTTTGACACCTACAAGTCTCTTTGGGTCCTCACTATTATTTATATTATTTTTTCTATTTTTCAACTTGAAAATCAATAAAAAATAGTTTCGGGACCTAATAAATGTTAGGATCTCATTTAAAGGTCTTGCAACATTTTCCTTAACTACCACACATAATATTTCCTGACACTAAAAATTCCAATTTTTTTTTACAAAACTATGAGTTATAACCCACACTTTTGAATCGATTTTGGGAATTTTACAAGAATCATTATACGCCAAATTCGAATCATTCTCGTCGTATCACATGTTTCCTAAAATTAATTTTAGGACATTTTGAAAATTTTCAACACTTACAAATCTCTTTATGTCCCCGCCATTAGTTTATATTATTTTTTCCATCCACGCAAAATATTTCCTATAACTAAAAATTTCAATTTTTTTCTCAAAAACTGTGAGTTATAAGTTATAACCAACCTTCTCCCATCGATCTTGGGAATTTTTACAAGAATCATTATAAGCCAAAAGTCGAGTCATTCTCGTCATAGCACATGTTTCCTAAAATTAAATTTAGGACATTGGGAAGATCTTTGACACCTACAAGCCTCTTTGGGTTCCCACTATTAGTTTGTATTATTTTATTATTTTTCAACTTTAAAAATCAATAAAAAAAATAGTATCGAGGCCTAATAAATGTTAGGATCTCATCCAAAGGTCTTGCAACATTTTCATTAACTACCATGCAAAATATTTCCTGAAACTAAAAGTTCCAATTTTTTTCACAAAACTATGAGTTATAACCCACACTTTTCAATCGATTTTGGGAATTTTACAAGAATCATTATATGCCAAATTCGAATCATTCTCGTCGTATCACATGTTTCCTAAAATTATTTTTAGGACATTCTGAATATTTTCGACACTTACAAATCTCTTTGTGTCCCCACTATTAGTTTATATTATTTTTTCCATCTTTCAACTTTAAAAATCAAGAAAACATAGTTTCAGGACCTAATAAATGGTAGGACCACGTCCAAAGGTCTTGCAATATTTTTCTTAACTCCAACTCAAAATATTTCCTAGAACTAAAAATTTCAAATTTTTTTCCAAAAACTAGGAGTTAACCCACATTCTCCAATTGATATTGGGAATTTTTACACGAATCATTATAAGCCAAAAGTCGAATCATTCTTGTCACAACACATGTTTCCTAAAATTAGTTTTAGGATATTGCGAAGATTTTCGACACATACAAGTCTCTTTGGGTCCCCACTATTATTTTGTATTTTTTTTTCTATTTTTCAACTTATAAAAATCAATAAAAAATAGTTTCGGGACCTAATAAATGTTAGGATCTCATCCAAAAGTCTTGCAACATTTTCCTTAACTACCACGCATAATATTTCCTGAAACTAAAAATTCCAATTTTTTTTCACAAAACTGTGAGTTATAACCCCACACTTTTCAATCGATTTTGGGGATTTTACAAGAATCATTATACACCAAAATTCGAATCATTCTCGTTGCATCACATGTTTTCTAAAATTAATTTTAGGACATTTTAAAGATTTTCGACACTTACAAATATCTTTGTTTCCCCGCTATTAGTTTATATTATTTTTTTCCATCTTTCAACTTTAAAAATAAAGAAAACATAGTTTTGGGACCTAATAAATGATAAGACCACATCCAAAGGTCTTGCAATATTTTTCTTAACTCCCGCGCAAAATATTTCCTAAAACTAAAAATTTCAATTTTTTCCCAAAAACTGTGAGTTATAACCCACATTCTCCAATCGATCTTGGGAATTTTTACAAGAATCATTATAAGCCAAAAGTGGAGTCATTCTCATCATAGCGCATGTTTCCTAAAATTAATTTTAGGACACTGTGAAGATTTTCAACACCTACAAGTCTTTTTGGGTCCCCAATATTAGTTTGTATTATTTTTATTGTTTTTCAACTTTAAAAATCAATAAAAAAATAGTATCGGGACCTAATAAATGTTAGGATCTCATCCAAAGGTGTTGCAACATTTTCCTTAACTACCACACAAAATATTTCCTGAAACTAAAAATTTCAATTTTTTTCACAAAACTGTGAGTTATAACCCACACTTTTCAATCGATTTTGGGAATTTTACAAGAATCATTATACGCAAAAATTCGAATCATTCTCATCGCATCACATGTTTTTTAAAATTAATTTTAGGACATTGCGAAGATTTTTAACACCTACAAGTCTCTTTGGGTCCCCACTATTAGTTTGTATTATTTTTTCTATTTTTCAACTTTAAAAATCAATAAAAAATAGTTTCGGGACCTAATAAATGTTAAGATCTCATCCAAGGGTCTTGCAACATTTTCCTTAACTACCACGCAAAATATTTCCTAAAACTAAAAATTCCAATTTTTTTCACAAAACTGTGGGTTATATATATAACACACACTTTTCAATTGATTTTGGGAATTTTATAAGAATTATTATACGCCAAAATTCAAATCATTATCGCCGCATCACATGTTTCCTAAAATTAATTTTAGGACATTCTAAAGATTTTCGACACTTACAAATCTCTTTGTGTCCCCGCTATTAGTTTATATTATTTTTTTCA